TTCCGCATTAGGAGCCTCCCAACCGCCCTTTTTACACATTTCGTGCACGACTTTACACATTTCCGACAACTCGAGCGGCTTTACACGGTAAACTGGGCATTGACTCGATTAGTACGAAAAATCTTCGCCTTTCCGCATTAGGAGCCTCCCAACCGCCCTTTTTACACGTTTCCTGCCCGACTTGACACGTTTTGGACACCACACGAGAAACTGGGCTTTTGCTCGCCTACTTCCCTACTTTAACACGTTCGCTACCAGCGCCGCAAATATGCGTCGTTTCAATTCTTCTCTGGGAGCCCGGAGCCGCAAATATGCGACGTGTATCATGGGCTGGAAAATTTCATGGGCTGTGGTACAAAATTTTCTTCTCAAGCGCTGGTAGCGAACGTGTTAAGGTGACGCGAATGTGGCGTCTGAGGATTGAATTGTTTCCGACACTTTTTTCCTAACTGAGCGTAGGGATACGTTTTAAATCTTACTACGTGAATATGTAGGCCCTAAGGATGGTCTTGTCGACCATGAAATTTAAATCTTTCATTAAAAATTAAAAAATGATTATAAACAAATTTTTTGAAAATATGAAACTTCATGGCTGTCAGGACTTTCCTTAAGGCTTCCATGTTCACGAGATGAAATTCCAAACGATTCGGTACACCCAGTTAAGATAAAAGTTCCATAAACGAGAACCCTCAGCCGCCACTTTCGTACCACCTTAAGCTCTCGAATAGGCTTTTATGTTAATACTCTCTCACATGAGAGGCTCTTGGGTCAAAATCGGTTTTTTGTTTCACGCATTTCTGCGCGATTTTCCTCGATGACACCCTCTCTTGGCTCCGACACCAAATTCATCTCTAAATTGCGCAACGCCAACCTTCGGTGGGAACGGAGACGCGTGAAAATTTCACATGCCTCTTGATTATTAGGATATCGAAGAGACCTTGAGTATTTTCAGGTGGGATCCAATTTTTTCGTCTCTAAGAAATTAACAACTGGGATATAAATATATTCGGGTCGCGCACGTACACCGAATACGTATGTGTTCGTCAGTAACATGGCGCGAAACTCTACCGAGTTTCCCGATACGTGGTACTAATTGATCGTAACGTAACAACATCTTTATCATTCGCGAAGCATCGACTTTGCACCTTGAGTAGACTTGGTGCAGCGATGAATTTCTTGCAGAGGTGCAGCAAGCTGCGAGAATCGCGCTTTACACTTTGTATCGCGATACGTCACCGAAAATACATCAAAGCGGCAATTAATCTGTGATCCTCGTAAATACGTTCTGTAAGATGACGCAAAAGTGGAGTCGAACGGGAGGAATCGGAGAATTTGCAAGGTTAAATAAAATGGGTACCTGTATACTTCATCTATCCAGAAACTCGATAGAGTTTCGAGCCAAATACATTTGTGCAAGAGATTCCTAGGGTCGAGGGTGTTTTTGAAATGTATTTTTTCCATGCCCAAAATCAAACATTCTATACTCTAAAACGATTTGCATCGTATTTCCACGGGGTGAAACTAACCATTGGAAAGGGAAAGAAAATTAAAAACGATTTCTTCTAACCTTATCTCTAACTTAACTAATCTAAGGGTGGCCTAACCCCTTAAGGTGATATGAAAGAGTCATTCGACCGAATAGTTGGAATCTTCAGCACGCAATTATGCAGGTCCTAAGTAAGAACACGGTGCTCGTGAGATTTCATTTTTAATAAATATTTCTTTTATTTATCCCAGAGTAGAACCAAGAATGCCTTTTTTTTTTTAAATGAAATTTCACGAGCATCTCGTTCTTTCTTAGGGCCTTCGTAATCACGTGCTGAAGTTCCAAATGATTCGGTGCACCCAGTTTGGGAAAAAGTTTTATAAATATTTTGACGTTTTATATATTTAGAGTGACCCTTTTATGTTGCCTTAATTTTATAACGGAGTTTTCGCTATCGATAAGAGAAAGCGATTCGCCAATTTCTACGCGGAACCTTCCCTAGCTTTTTTGGCCAGTCGGGCCCACTAAAGGTCCCTTTGGAAGGCCCGTTAATAAATCCTAGGGGAGCGGTCGCGTCTGTTGGGCTCCCAGAAGGTCCCGACGTCGGGACGCGAGGCGACGCCGTCTCCTTCCAGCCGGCGAGACGCGAAAATAGCTCGGAGGGCCAAGTCGGCACCACCGAGCCCCTTTCAGCTCGAAATCAGGGCTGGCCAGAGTGCTTTTCCCGTAAACCGAAGAGGCTCCAAGAGTTTCGAGACCCTTGGGCTTCGATCGCTCTGTATAGTCCTAATTATTCGGAATTTCGCGAGTCCCTATTTTCTTCTTCCCCTTATCCCTTCTTTGTCAAGCAAATGCCGAATTGCCCAAAATAATTACTTTTTTCGTCAGGCACCATTGTGAATTCATTCAAACATGACGCATTTCTTTACTCCCTCTCATTAATGAGAAACAGGGTTAAATGTGTGCTCTTCGTTTGTTCCTCTCAACACGGTTCAACATACCTTTCGGCCATTTCGGGCTCTAATTCTGCTATTCCTTGTTTCTTATTCCTTTTCCGCCGAGTAATCCTGGAACTGCCCAAAAAATTGACTTTCTCGCCACGCACTATTATACGCTTTTTCTAAAATCAAACCTTTCTTTATCCTCCGGCATTAATAAGAAACAGAGTTGATACGTGCTTTCCGTGTGTTCTTCTCAACACGGTAGTGGGCCGAAATGATGATAGGATCTTTTGCCAAGAGAACATATTCCAACATATCTGCCCTTTCGGGTGTAAATTTGGTTATTCCCTGTTTCATCTTCCTTTTTTCTTTCCCGCCGAGCAATTCTGAAATTGCCTTAAAAAATTACTTTTTCGCCACACACCATTGTACACTTTTTCATAATTTAAACGTTTCTTGATCCTCCGGCATAAACAAGAAATAGCGTCGAATACGTGTTTCTCGTGTGTTCTTCTCAACACGGTAGTGGGCCGAAATGATGATAGGATGTTTGCCAAGAGAATATATTCCAACAAATCTCTCGGGCATTTCGGGCGCTAGTTCGGCTGTCCCTCATTTCGAGCCCTTTACGAGGCCAGCCTCCGTTTGCCCAGAGGCACGTAATGGGCCCGAAAGATGAAAGGAGGTTCGCGGGAACGAGGGGCCCAGAAATACCCCCAATTTTCGGCGAAACGCTCGCGCACTGTATACTTCTTTTTCGTCCCGTAAACCCGAGTTCTTTCGAGCCCTCCGCGAGTCTACCCCGAGGCGGGTTAAAAAGCGTGCTTTCGAGAAAAGAGGAGAGAAAAAGCGACCCTCCGGCGAAATCGCGGCAAAACTCGAGGAGGGCGGCCTTTTTTTTTCCCCTCGATGTCGGGATTTTCAAGGCCCTGTGATTCCTCCATAGATCTATGAGGAGACAAATGGAGCATAAATTGAGACTTTAGCGAGGCTACACGACACTTACATTAGTAAAGACAAAGCAACGTGTTACAGAAAGAATTACCAAAGAAATGAATTTTTTTTCTCAGGGTACACCCGCCGGGTTAAGGTGAAGTGAAACGCCGATTAAAATAAGACACTTTTTTTTTTTAATTTCTTAAAAGGAATCGCACCGAACCAGCCTAAATATTGACACCTAAGAATCAGCTTGATATTAAAAGAAATTTGGATTTTCGAAGAAAATGTTGTCATGTATCATAGTTTGAGAGCAGTATTCTTAAATGAAAGTGGCATGCGATCGGTTCGAGGGGGGTTTCCCTCCACCTTAAAAAGCCTAGAGGAGGGTGTTCCCGAGAAAAGAAGAGAGAAAAAGCGGCCCTCGGTCGAAATCGCGGTAAAACTGGGCCCCCTTCTCCCTAGTCGGGATTTTCAAGGCCTGCTGGCGATGATGCCCCGTTTAGTCGAGCCGAATAACAGGAAACGAGCGCCTCCCCTGGGAAGCGGGGCCTCCCAGGAATTCCGAGGCAGGAATGCGACCGCCCTGGCGGACCGCTTGCGGCAGCTCTGGGCCCCGTGGGCCCGCTTCTGACATCATCCTCTTCTTTCGCTTAATGAATCTCCCCGGCGACTTCGCCTTGCGCGAGCGAGAGCGAAACGAGCGAGAGGGGGCGCGACGAGCTCGAGAAAAAGCAAAAGCACCCGCAAAACCCATAAAAACTGCCCCGAGGCCCGCGGAACTCGTTTCGAATAGGTACGGGAGAGCCTTTATCTCTTCTTTCTCTCTCTCTTTCTCTCCCTCTACCCCCTCTTTCGCGACTTATTTTTGGCCTCCGATCCTCCTTACCTCCCGCTCGCTCCCGGCCAAGATGGCCGCCCGCTTATATTCAGTCTTGCCGAATTCGCGCGACTCTGCCGGCGATCTCGCACCTTGTCTTCCTCCTGAGGCTCTTAGTCGCTTCTTCTCCCTCGCGCCGATGATATTTTCGATGATCCTCTCATCGCTGCGTCACGGGACCGTGCGGCTTCCACGGTCTGAATCATCGTCGGCGATCTTCGGTCGGAAGGACCGCTGGGTCTGACGGCTCCCTCCAGGTTTGCGGGAAGGAAACGCTGTGAGGTTAGGTGGAACGGTTAAAACCTCTTTACTTTGATAAATTAGATTCGTGATAAAAATGTTGTGTTGAACATGAATTTGACGGGTCCTGCCGGGTTGCGGGAAGGAAACGCTGCGAGGTTAGGTGGAACGGTTAAAACCCTTTTATTTTAATAAATTTGATTCGTGATAAAAATGTTGTGTTGAACATGAATTTGATGGGTCCTGCTGGGTTGCGGGAGGGGATCGCTTTGAGGTTAGGTGGAACGGTTAAAACCTCTTTACTTTCATAAAAATGTTGGGTTGAACATGAATTTGACGGGTCCTGCCGGGTTGCGGAAAGTGAACGCTTCGAGGTTAGGTGGAAAGTTTAAGACGATCCGAAGGTGACTGTTTACATCTGGATATTTTATATTCGGACCTTAAGTTCTCGCTATTGTTTCGCGTTGCGGATATAGAATAAAGGTTTCGTCTATAAACGATCGTCGTTTGGTTTCAGATCGTGCACCGAGCGAAGGAAGCCCCGGGCAATACGGAAACACATTACCCATGCCACTTCCAGGCTCTCTCACCACCAACGGAGAAGGTAAATATGGGTCAAACCTAACGACTGGGAATCATTAACCTGCGACAAGTAATAATCGATTCCATAGACTTTGCCAGACCGAAAGCGCGAAACCTAGGAACCATTTATTCATACAAGTAAATGGCATTTCGATAGGTCAATTTAATATAATCAGATACAAGTAGGTGAAATTTAACAACTAGAAGTATTTGAAAATAAGGTACAAAAGGGAAACGGTGCCCATTACGGACATTCGATCTCTTTTCCTCACGCCTCGTCGCCCATTTCAATTTTTTTTTTTATTCATGACTACATCAAAACCTTTGGATCCGCATTTCAGCGATTCCATCGAATTATCTGAAACTTTAACACGTGATTTCGTAGGCTCTAAGGAAGAACGCGCTGCTGGAGAAATTTCATATTTCGCAAAGAAAATGTCATTTATCTCGGAGAAGAACCAATAAACGATATTTTTTGTCGAAAAATGAAATTTCACGGTTAGCGCGTTCTTCCTTAGAGCCTCCATAATCATGTGTTAAAGTTTCCGATAATTCGGTGTACTCAGTTTGGAGAACAGTTTTATTAATTTATTTAAAACTTTTCTCCAAACTGGGTGTGCGTGTGTGTGCGTGTGTGTATATATATATCACTTTCATATCACTTTAAGGGGATGTGAAAGTGGCATCCGAAAACTCAATCGTTCATAAAACTATTCTACGAACTGGGTGTCTCAAATCGTTTCATACTTTAAAACGTGAATATGGAAACCCCAAGGTAGGTCCTGAAATGCGCAAAATTTCATTTTTTATAAACTATTTTTAAACTACCTATAAAAAGAAAAGAATTGAAATCAAATAAACAAATTAGAAAAGAATTGAAATTTCATGAGTTTCAGGACCTTCCTTATAGTCTTCCCATTCACGTTGTAAAGTTTCAAACTATTCGGTAAACCGAGTTAGGAGAAAAGTTTTACAAACGGAACCTCTTTGACGCCACTTTCACATAACCTTAAGTCTTAATTCCTTCTTGCATCGCGCCTCGCAATTGTAGTCCATCCCTCGAAAACTTATTCCTAACTCCTCGGATGGCCTCAGCCGGGAACGCATTCGGGCGGAGTCGGTCGCAGGTTTGAAAATGGCTTGGCACGGCGTCGGCTCGGCACGATGCGTCGGTTAGGTTAGGTCCGCAAAGGTGGGTGGCGGCCGAGTCGGTCGTTTGGGGGAACAGGGGGTTCCCTGGCGCCAGACAGCTGCCGCGTGTCTCGACCTCGCTCGCTCGCTCGCTCGCTCTCCCGCGACTCGGCGACGACTCGGGCTCTACGCGAGAGCGCGCCCCGCCATTTTCTATCGATTTATTTAACCGACGCGGCGTTTCCTCGGGCCGACCGGCCGCTACGCCGCGACGTCGCCGGGGGCATAGAAAATCCCCCGAGGAAGAGCTAGGCATCCGGAGAAAGGGGGGAAAAAAAGAGAAGTCAACGAGGTTTCAACCGAGTCGACCTCGTCGCCGAGGTTAAATACGACGGACCGCTAGTTGGGGTTGAGCCAAACCGCGGCCCCTCGTATGCGTCCGCGACTCGAGGAGGTTAGGTTGGGCGGTGAAAACGACCGCGACTCGGCCAGTCCGTTAGAGGTTATGTCGGGAGGCAGTGCTAGGGCCGGGGTGGCGAAAGTAACCGCGACCTGGCGAGGTTATGTCGGGAGATAACGCAATGAAGGTAGCGGCTTGATAGGTAACAAAGGAAGCGACTTAAGGGGGTGTTAGAGTGCCATCAAAGAGGTTTCGTTTATGAAACTTTTCTCCGAAGTGGGTGTACCGAATCGTTTCAAACATGACAATGTGAATATGGAGGCTATAAGGAAGGTCCTGACCCCCATAAAATTTCAATTAAAAAAAAAATTTCTTTACAGATACCTTAAAAATTTGTCATGGAAACTGAAATTTCACGGGGTTCAGGGCCTTCCTTATAGCTTCCATGTTCGGGTTGTAAAGTTAGAAACGATTCGGTACACCCGTTTCGTAGAAAAGTTTCACGAAGGAAATCTATTTGACGGCACTTTCGTATCATCTTAATTTTGGCGATCGCGCGAGTACCAGTGCTTTCAATGTGGCATAAGCATTGATAAACATGGCGAAACTAGGGTCTTTTTGCCAGGTAAACTTACCGGCAGCTTAGTTTTCCCCTGGTTTTCGAGGCTGGTTGCAAACTTCGACACGTGTATATTTGAACGAGATCGCCCGTTTGTTGATTGAGGAAATAACCGTTTGACAGTGTACAAGAGTTTATAACGATTCGGACATGTGCCACGTGGCAGGTCGTAACGTTGCCTTCGCTGTTTAGGCTGCGAATAGTAACGAGAGAAATCGTTACTGGATTCTGTTTATTTGAATGATGCTTTCAAGCCGATAATTACTTCTTTCGATTTGATTGTTTCCCTGGCAATATCTAAAACAATTTAAACGGTTCTTTGTGCATCGCCCTTAATAAATAATAGAAAAGAAGTAGGATTTCGGTATGCTTACCTGGCAAGGAAGGTTTACTCATCGGTACGCATTTCGTGAGGAATAATTGTAAACGTTCGATTATTTGAATGTCTACATCGTTCTAACGAAATTACGAGCCGCTATTCACCAGTGGCTTATCTTGGGAGAGAAATCCTTCGTGGATTTGGAGCGGAAGGAAGTTCTCTCGCTTTCATCGGAGCAACAGGTTCGCTTTCCCAGGCTCCTATTTCTGGTGGATAGTTTCGCCCCTCTGGAAGCACTTCCGGTGTCTTTCACCCCTCGTGACACGACGATGCCCTCGGATATCTTTAAGAGCGGTGCGTGTCCTATGAAATGTGCGCCACCGCGTTATTTCCTTTCCTTTTCTTATTTTTTTTTTCTCTCTCTCTCTCTCTCTCAATCAAATCCGTCGATCTCGTAATAAGATTTATAAACAATGTCGGAAATTTGCACGCGTCACTTGTTTTGTATTTAATAAGAACGCTTTAACAGCATTCCGAAAGCTGTACTTTGGAACAGAGATGTTGTTTGTTACATTGCAGCTTGATCGATTATCCATTTGTTTACGATTTTGTAACATTCGTTGTGGCTATTTATACTAGGAATTTAATATGTACCCTGGCAGTCACGTGTGCCTTCTCTATGGATAATTTGCTATCTGTATGATGGGAAAGCATTCGTGTCCAGTGAGTATAGTGACATATTTACATAAATGCTTTTCCTTCGTATATCAGAATAATTCGGAATAATTCAACTCATTAGATTCGAGTCGGTTTAAGTCAACTCGAGTTAAACGTGTGATTCAAAAAATTCGAGTCGGTTTACTCGCCGTACACTCGATTCACCGAATATAGGCGGCACCGAATTAACGACTCAAGTATATACTCGAATTGGCAACGTATTCGAATTCGAGTAACTCGAGTTGACGAAGTATTCAATTCGTCGCATGGCCAGTTCTCCTTGAATTCCGAGCGCGGTGGCGCAACAGGAGTCACATCGGAAGTGCACGGTCTAGGTACAGGACGAGGGCGAGAGGTTAGGATGATGCGGGAAAGAGGAAGCGTTGACCTACGAGGGGGCGACGCCGTTTACGTCGGCTCGTAACTCGCGGGATTTACGAGTTCGCGGTTCCACGCGGTAACATCCGCCCCTCCCCGTCCCTCATCCCCACCCGCTGGCGGTGCTCCTTCCGCAGGACTCGGAGGTGGAAAAGCGTCGCCCGACCTCCCTCCTACCCACCCCTACCTCCCCGCCGCTCCGCGCGCTGCATCTCGTGGAGCAAGGCCAAGGTCAAGGTGAAGCGGCGGCGCGGCGCCCCTTTCGCCCTCCCCCCTCGCTCGCTCTCCGACCGTGGCCATTTAAAGGGGATGAAGCGGTCCACCCCTGCCAGATGGCTGTCGCGTTCGGGGGTGGAACCACGCTCACCGGGGGACGACTACGAAGACCCTTCGCAAGGATCTCGCGTAAGTGTAAAAGTACACGTGACGGGAGAATTGGTCAATGAAATTGCAGAAAAATTGTTAACTTTCGGCAATTTGATGGGTCAATTGTTTTACTTATATGTTTACGGTCACCGTTGTGCAAGATACGGGTAAATGATTTTAAGGCGTTCACGGATACGCGTGTGTAATAATGGTCACGACATTTAAGACCTCGGCGGAGTTTCGACGATTATATTTCCTGAGAACAGTTGAGAAATAAAAGCCTCGGAATCCTCGTTTCGAGAAGCCTGGAACGACGCTCGTTTATCACGGCTGATGCGCGGGCAAAACCTTAAAAGCCATTTTATTACCCACTATTCGTGGCCGAGCGGCAGGAAGGATCTCGACACGTCTCGGAGCGGAGATTTTACTGCCGTAAGGAAAATACGTAACACGAAACAGGCGATTTCCCGTGATTTCCGTCCGCGATGTATTAGGGATCACGCCCTGGTGTTCCCCGATCAGGATCTCTCGGGTTTAATCGTTTCACCGGAGACTGCACGTTTTAACTTCTAAGCTATACATTCCTCGTAATGGTATTCTAGGTACTAAAGTTGTGAAAAAATTCTACGGCCCTAAGTCTCGGTCTAAGTCGTGCCGCATCTCGTATCTTGCACGGATTCAAGGTCATCCGGGTACACCTCCCCGGTGAATCGATTTCTCGCTCCTTGTTCCCGATTCCTCGTATCTCGCGGCTCGGCTCGAATTTCTTATTCCTCGTTCCTTCGCGCCGTCCGCGGGCCTACGCCAACTGGTACGCCGCCATTTGCATTCTAGTCGAGCGCTCGCGAGTCCGGAATTCTCCAAACGTCCCTCCCTCCCTCTCTCTCGCTCCCGCGTGCCGCGGATCGCCCCCCCTCTCTCTCTCTTTATCGGCCGCGTACTCGCGGCAGAGATCTCGAGACGCCTCCGAGGCGGGGCGCGAGGGCGATAACGATAAATGGTTATTGATCGTCTAGGAGAAGACACGCGCGGGCGATTAACCCAAATGCGTCGCTAGGTTTACGAAGCCGGCCACACATCTCGGGCTATCCG